ACAGCCACTTTGTTCGAGACAGAGTTTTTGGTATCCAAGAATACCCACGGCACAGGCTGCTCACTTGCCTCGGCAATTGCTGCAAACCTGGCTTCTGGCAAGGACATGATCAGAGCGGTCCGGAGCGCCGTGCGATTTGTCGAGGTAGGGATCAAGACAAGCATTGACCTAGGTAAAGGGAGTGGGCCGATCAATCATTTCCACTCCACCTATACTATGCCCTTTGCGCCGTATGTGACCCCCAAACCTGGATCTTTGGGGTATCTCCATTCTAACGGTATGCTATCTAGAGACCGATTCATTGAGTATGTCTTGGACCGTCAAGATGTGCAGCAAGTATGGCATCAATTCACCCACCATGAGTTTGTCGAAGGCATAGGTCAGGGTACGCTGCCTATTGAACGTTTCAAGGCGTACCTTGTGCAAGATTATCTCTACCTGGTGAGACAGGCATCTTCAATGCAGTTGAGAGAAGACATTTCCTTATTAACACTCAATCTATAGGTACAATTTGCCCGAAGCAATGCACTTGCATCATACAAGGCGAAGACCATGGATTCAATAGCAGCAGTAAGTAACCATGGCCACTATACTTGTTTTCAATAACAATCTAACACAATCAATCCAGTCTGCTCAGATTGTCCTCCACATCCAGCGGGAAATGGCATTGCACCTCGACTACTGTGCCTCCTTTGGCCTTTCAAAGCAGGAGATGGAAAATACTCCCGAAACTCTCGGTAAGCCGGTCGTACTTCTTTATAAACTCGATGGATGTGCTAATCTCAATATGGATAGCTTGTACCGCCTACAGTCGATACATTTTGGATGTAGGCCAATCGGAAGACTGGCTAGCCCTCCAAATGGCCCTCGCACCATGCTTGATCGGATATGGAGCTATTGCAAGACGGCTGCATGCGGGAGAGAAAACCATTCGAGAGGGGAACACCTACTGGAAATGGATCGAAAATTATGTTGCAGACGACTACACGGAGGCTGTACGACTTGGTTCAGGTAAGTCAGGTGATGAAAGCCGAGTAAGACATCCAACTGACTCATGTCCATGTCATAGCATTGCTGGAGGATCACATGCAACACGTGTCCCCTAGTCGTATGGAAGAACTGATTAAAATCTTTGTTCGGGCTACGGAATTGGAGATTCGTTTCTGGGATATGGGCCTTGGAGGTAAGGAAAAGGAAAGATATTAGTTTGCTATATACATTAGTCTCATGAGAATGGATTGCCCCTTCTATCCTAGAACAAGAATATTCGACTGTATAATCGGCCTTGAGGTGTCTTTTCAGTAGTCCTTTCGATGGTCTCCTTACTACTGAGTAGTCTCGGATATCATTCTGTTTAGTTGTGTCGGTTTTATACAACATAGGTTGATTGCCAAGAAAGGCGGGAAAAGGCTTTGTGAAATGGAGTGTTCTAAGTATAACCTTTGATACCACCTGCACTTGGAAGGTTGTTATGTTACTTCAGTCTAGAAACACAGCTTGAGAATAATTTGGTTTACTTCTAGGTTGAGGCATAACTTACCATCAAGCCGTTTGCTTCTAGAATACTCCATAATAATTTACTACACAAGAATAAAATTATTCCCCAAAATGTATTTGCCTCTTCAACAATCTACATAATATGTTGCCACTCAGAGATCTCATTGCCTCCTTTATATCCATGGACGATCGATGGCGCAGTTAAAATTTCCAAATTTCTGCCTGAGGCTAACCAGTGGTTAACCAATCAAAAATCAAAGACAAACAGCATGAAAGCGGCGAGTGGCAACTAATCCTGTTTGGGTAGGCGGTCTAAAAGGTACCTGATCCAGACTTAGTCATGTGATAAGAAAATACAAAGAGAGCTAAGCCTAATTTAATTTTTACTCGCGCCTCCCCTGGGTTTTTTATTTTTTTTTCTCCTTCCCTTTTCTTTCAAAGTTCCCCGACCTTTTTCTCACCTTTTCACAACTTTTTTCTCTTTTTCTCATATCCATCTACACTAATACCCCCTCTCTTTTTACCTTTCACAGACTCAAATTATGTCCTACGGAGGCGGCTACTCTCGCGGTGGCGGCGGTGGTGGTGATTCCTACCGGTAAGTTCATTCACGTCTTGTCTAACCCTATCACACGGCTCTCTGGCAAAAGCCTCGAGCCTGTTTGCGAGGGCACTGGGCCATGGATTCTGAGTCTCATGAATTCGGGCCTGGCTTGGTTTCCCACCAAACAGACACTGCATATTGCAAAAGAATTTGTGCTAACTTTGATACTCTAGCTCCCGCGGAGGTGACGGCGGCTACTCTAACGGTGGTTACGGCGGCGGCGGCGGCTACGGCGGTGGCCGTGGAGGTGGTTACGGCGGCGGCTATGGCGGCGGTGGTGGTGGTTACGGCGGCGGTGGTGCCGGTGGTGATCGCATGAACAACCTCGGCGCTGGCCTGAAGACTCAGGACTGGGGTAAGTCCATTCCAACGGCGAACATGTTTATTTCTGCAATACTAACTTCGTTTCCGCTCAGATCCCAGCACCATGCCCAAGTTCGAGAAGTCGTTCTACAAGGAGCACCCCGATGTCACTGCGCGCTCTGAGGAAGAGATTCAGGCCTTCCGCAAGTCCAAGGAGATGGCCATTCAGGGTACCAACGTGCCCCGCCCTGTCCAGACCTTTGACGAGGCTGGTTTCCCCGCTTACGTTTTGTCTGAGGTCAAGTCCCAGGGCTTTGACGCTCCTACTGCTATCCAGTCCCAGGGCTGGCCTATGGCTCTGTCCGGTCGCGATGTCGTCGGTATTGCCGAGACTGGTTCCGGCAAGACTCTGAGTTACTGTCTCCCCGCTATTGTTCACATCAACGCTCAGCCTCTCCTCGCCCCCGGCGATGGTCCCATTGTTCTTGTTTTGGCTCCTACTCGTGAGTTGGCTGTCCAGATTCAGGCTGAGATTACCAAGTTCGGAAAGTCCTCCCGTATTCGCAACACCTGTGTCTACGGTGGTGTCCCCAAGGGTCCTCAGATCCGTGACCTCTCTCGCGGTGTTGAGGTCTGCATTGCCACTCCCGGCCGTCTGATTGATATGCTCGAGGCTGGTCGCACCAACCTTCGCCGTGTCACTTACCTCGTTCTTGACGAGGCTGATCGTATGCTTGACATGGGTTTCGAGCCCCAAATTCGCAAGATTATCGGCCAGATTCGTCCTGATCGTCAGACTTGCATGTGGTCCGCCACTTGGCCCAAGGATGTCCGTCAGCTCGCTTCTGATTTCCTCACCGACTACATTCAGGTCAACGTCGGCTCCGCTGACCTCTCCGCCAACCACCGCATCACACAGATTGTCGAGGTCGTTTCCGACTTTGAGAAGCGTGACAAGATGATCAAGCATCTTGAGAAGATCATGGAGGACCGCTCCAACAAGTGCATCATTTTCACTGGCACCAAGCGTGTCGCAGATGAGATTACCCGATTCCTCCGTCAGGACGGCTGGCCTGCGCTTTGTAAGTTTTTCATAGCTCCCCCACGGGTACATGTGCACGGTACTAACATTTTCTCCAGCCATCCACGGTGACAAGCAGCAGAACGAACGTGACTGGGTCTTGAACGAGTTCAAGCAGGGCAAGAGCCCCATCATGGTGGCCACCGATGTGGCCTCGCGTGGTATTGGTATGAACAAACTACATCCCCCTTCCCCCTTCCCTCCCCCCCTTCTTGTCCCCCCTTAAGGGGCCCTTGAAAACACTCACCCGTGTTGACGTTGTGTGATACAATGGCACGGTGCTCAACTCTCTCGAAGCACGTCGGTGTATATGTATACGCCGCGTCCAGGCGCATCTGGTCATCCTAAATGGTTCACATGCCAAGAGGACCTTGGACTCACAGTGCAGCACAGCAGCAGGCATTTTAGCCTGACTTTGATTCTCCATCTCTTGTGTGACAGACTCGTATGCGAGTCAGTTTTTATCACACAGCGTTGTTCTTGAACTGTTGAACTGTTAAGGCTGTATTTCCAAGGTTGCTCTAGGACCACGATAACACTGCCATCCCATGGATTCGCTTCCCTTGGATTTTCTTCGCAGAAACCCATCAAGAGAGCAGTGATGCATCAAGTCCTGCACGACGGAGAAAGGGTCCTTCATGGCCATACTCCTCATACCCCCACTAATGTTCTATTTGCTAACGAAATTCCTCTTGAAAAGATGTGCGCGATATCACTCACGTGCTTAACTATGATTACCCCAACAACTCGGAGGACTATGTCCACCGTATTGGTCGTACCGCTCGTGCCGGTGCCAAGGGTACCGCCATTACCTTCTTCACCACTGACAGTAAGTTCATTATCCATGTCTGTGCATATTCAGCAAGTTGTGCTAACCTTGATTTCTCCAGACTCTAAGCAGGCTCGTGACTTGGTTACTATCCTCACTGAAGCTAAGCAGCAGGTTGATCCCCGTCTTGCCGAGATGGTCCGCTACGGCGGCGGCGGTGGTGGTGGCCGCTGGGGTGGCCGTGGACGCGGTGGTGGTCGTGGACGTGGTGGCTACGGTGGTGGCGGTGGTTTCACTGCCTCCAATGCTGCTCCCGTCGGCGGCAACCGACGTTGGTAAATGCCTCGCTACTGCTCCCCGTGCAGTCAGTCGCTTTGCCTTGTATTGTGCTATCCCGGTAGACTCTTTTTTCATTTCCTTGACTTCATGCGTAACTCGGACAGGACGGCGTTATCTTCGATGTGATAGATAGTTTTTACTTTTTCTTCCGTCCCTATGGTACCAGGGGATTTATCACGGTCTCGGATCTTGATTCATTAGCTCTGGGGTTCTAGGGCTTGAATTCTCACGACGAACCCATACATGTTGACTTGTTTCAAAAGTTTCACGTCTCAGAGAGCTCCAAGTTTCTGATCTCTCCAATAATGATTATTCTTTACACATTTCAAGTTCTGTTTTTTTTTTTCTCAATCTCCTCAAACCAGCCCCAAATATATTGGAATAGATAAGTCTGAGAATGGCTCCCACTATCCCTGTAACCACCTTTCCACCTGGGATGCCAAAATCTCATGCACATGGCTAGTCATATGGCCCGGATTAAACCAGAAATACTGCTCCAACGACGTCGGACACCCATACTTCTCATACTCAATCGCAATATCCGGCTGGTCATACCCAGCACAGAAATCCGTCGTATTCACGATTCCGTACTTGCGAGGCTCATCAAGCATATCTGCCAGTCTGACATGTGCATCAAAAAGCATAACCTGCGCCTCCTTATGCTTTTCCCCAAACGCAGCCGCTTGATCCGCCAACGCGGCATTGTACCATCCGACCTGTGCAGCGCTGGGACTTGGCTTGCTCTTCGCTTGGTTCCCTGGCGTGCGGTCTAGTGGCGGCAAATTCATGAACAGATATCTTCTATAGCCCAGTCTGTATAATGTCTCTACAGACGCAAAGAGCGTATCCGTGAGGCTCTTGTAGAAAGTAGGGAAGTCGACGGCGTATTTAGCGCTGTCGTTTATATCGTTGATCCCGATCCAGATGGCAATTAGGGTTTTGTCTTGCTTGAAGCCTGGCAGGTTGTGGAGGGCTGGGTGGCCGTATTGTTTGAATTGGTTTATTTGGTCTACTAAGGAGACTGTGAAGTTGTGGTGAAGGGGTGTGCTTGGTTTCAGTTAGTTGTGGATGTTGGATATGTGTGTTTAAATGCTTACTGCTCGGTTGAGATGTCGGCACCTGCGAATGCGAAGTCCCAGAGTTGTTTTTTGCAGGTTTGTGGTGAGGTCAGGCCTTGGTAGACGCCGCAGTTTGTGAGATATTCGACCCAGTTGGGGCCGCCTTCTGCGGTTGCGGTCTATTATGAGATTAATAGCTAAGTCATATTGTGTTTTTAGTGGTTAGAGACAAACTTGATTTTGAACTATTTTGTTGGAAAACAGTGTTTTGGCATCGTAGGCCAGGTTGAATTGGTCTCCTATGAAACTATAATTTTGGTGTCCGAGGGTTCCTTGGACATAAGTGTAGGAGTCACCGAAGGCGATTCTTTCGCATGTTAGTTTTGCTTGTAGGCTTGCATTATCAATATACTTACAGGGCCTTGGTTGATGACCAGTTGAATTTGGCCGGTTTTGATAGAGGACCTGCTCTGGTCAGAGTACAAGAGGCGATGGCTAGGATAAATGTTGTCAAAGGAAGCATTTTGGCAATTGGATTAGTAGAGCCAGGATAACAGAATATGGAATTGCATAGATACTATAAGATGTGTGATAGTCCACAATATATAGATCTCGTCTAGCCCCGCAAATGGTCGGTATCCGGGGTAATGTTGTAGAATTGACGGAATATATTTTTCCATCAGTTATGGAGATTCCCAAATGCTCTACTGCTGTGGAGAGAAAAGAGAAAATAAAACTCCGAACTTATGCTCGCAGAAAGACATCAAATATGTTCCTTGGCTTTCAGCATAATATAACACATGTAGCATATATATCAAACTGACCAACCGATTAGGTAGCTCTCATATACCAGACTCTTGGACGACTTAGTCTCCAATATCTGAAAATCTGCACACTGACTAGTACCGAGTGCTAATCGCCTCAGATAATTACTTGCGAGGCATGACTATGAGGGGCCTTACAAGTCAACATGTTAGCCACAGATGCCGTTCACAAAACTGATAAAGACTTGATACAGGATACAAAGAGAGAATAAATGGAGAAAACACTGTATATAGTGCGCCGCATGAGGAGAGGAGGAAAAAAGAAAGAGAGGAAAGCAGAGAGAGCTATCAATGATGGAGCCCCGGAAATTCTATCACATGGTGATACCCTAGACATCCGACAAAAACACCTGGCACTTTGTCTTAAAGAATATTGATGAAAGAACCCAAAAGAAAGGGATATCAAGTGAAGATAAAAGAAGTGAGTATAGGTACTTACTAGGGTGAGATGACAAACCTGGTCAGCCTTATAGACCTTACCTCATTTGACACAAGTGTGATGAGTCTATGATCGACCCTAGAATCGACACTAGAATCTACACTAGAAAGCAAGCTTACGCATACTATACTAGGGGTCGATTTCAAACCAGTCGAGGGGTTTGCATAGCGCAATATTCAAGCTTTATGCTTAAACGGCCTAGAGGTTATCTTGTGGGTTCCTTTTAGCGCTTCACGGCCTGATAAACTCTGAAATACAGATATGTCAAGCTACGGGGAGATCAGTGGGGGTCAACCATTGCTATTTTGGGTTGATTTTGTATAATAGTATACATCATGACGCTTGTGTCTTTAGAATGGGATGGATTCTGTTCGGATTTATTGGATTTTTCTGTATTGATCACGGATCTTTGTAGATGAGGATGCAATGTATAAGAAGACCGAGCCACGTGCACAGGACAGCGTGATATTTTTGCAATTAGCTGGTCCCCTATCAACTCCCGAAGAAAAGAGATTCCTATAAATCCCAAAGCGAGACCTGCATATCAATGCGTGTACTCCGTACTCAATACGCACATTCTGGCAAGTACTTACATCCCGCCTGTGCATGCATACAACCTCCACCTAATCTTGAAGTAACCCTCGACAGAAAAAATACACCCGAAAGAGCAGTACACAATTTTAAGAGATGCCCAAGACAGCGAGGTGCAGTAGTGCGGGCAACGGACTAGCGTTGAAAAGTGTATTCCCTAAGTGTGCATAAGCGCCTCCCACGGGTCTTCAAAGCGCCATGCCAATCGCAATAAAAATTTTTCATCCGACGATGCACGTCGGAGAAGAAAGTGTTTTCGGTCGAGATCTAAACCGAACCTTGGAAAATTTACCAGCCGCAATGCCTAGACTAATCTGTGGCCAACAGGGGCTTGACCCGGTAGGATACGCTAGTAAGACAACGTTCGCTATATCATGCGATAGTGCGCCACTTAGGGAAAAAGAAATAATATAATAATCATTTATTTTCTTCCCTATTTTGTATCGGCTACGGAGTAGATCAGATGTAGAATATGCATAGAAATGTACGGAGTAACTATGCTTAGGTTTGGGTTCAAGGGCTTCTGCTTTGAGTACTCCGTATTGAAAATGGAAAATATACAACATAATATCTAGATCGAGTCATCCATACGAAGTATAATGTGGCAATTATACGGAGTGTACGGAGTAGTATTTTCACATGTCGTAGTCATTATAGGCTTAATAATATGTCAGTTTCTTCTCAAAAAGTAAATCTGTCGGCCACTACGATTTTTTTGTGCCGGACTTCCTTAGATCCCTGTCTCAGGATTTGAATCCCTGTAGGAATCATTCTCATTTATTGGTTGAACCAAGCTAGACTCCTGCCATTTCAAGATTTCAATATCAAGGTCCAGGTCAATATCAGGTTCGACTTTAACCGAGGTTTCATCCAAGCGATACATTTTGGTCTCAACTTCTGCTAAAAAACAATTTAGAAAAAAAAGAAAAAAGAAATGTGGAAAAAAAAGGACTCAGATTCTGTGTGATAACAGCTCAATGATCATCATCCGGGGTGTGCTGATCCGCACAGGTCTCTCTAACGCGATCTGCCGAAGCATTAGCGGATAAGACTTACTGTCTCCGGTGTAGTCTCCCAATTTATCACTGCACTGGCCAGCGAAGTAGTGGAGTCAACGGAAATTGCGAGTTATTTTTCCCAATCAGCCCTGAGAGCACAGACACTACTCGCCCTGATAGGAACTCGGCAAGTTCGTTGGTTTTTATACCGCGGAGTACTGCACCATTTCTAAATTATCAATGGTTCTTTTTTGGATATACCCGAGGACCCAGTTAAGAGTAACTCTGGATCCATATACGGAGTCCTCCGTACAAGACACACCGGATTTTGTCCTAGGGAAAGAAAAGCCAAGCCTTTTCCCAAATGATCGACCCCTGAACGATTGGAAAATGACCGGAGAATACCCATATAGTATGGTAGCCTCGACCAGACCCTTTGTGGGTACATTTTCCGCCATCTTTTCTTACCCGCCCATTAGTCAACTCGTTTAACCTCATTCAGTTCAAATATGCGAGTTTTGATATTCGAAGCATAAAAATTTTAGATATAAACATGCAGAAATGGGCCCACGTGCAATGAATGTCTGCAGGTTTCCGTTGAGATATTTAATTCTGTGTCCCTTTTGATCTCCAAATCAAAAGCCACAGCCGCGAAAGGCGCCTTATATCACACTATTATTATTGAATATAAATGGGGGAAAAAAAGTGATACGGCCAAGTTCTCCCAAAAACCCCTCTCGATGGAGAAATATGCAACCTTGGAGCCTTGGGAAATGCATAAAACTGGAGACTGGAGCTTTCGGGTTCATCGTCCGAAGGTACAAAGTACGGAGGCCAAGGTATTACCGTATTCGCTCGTACAGCGCGACTGGATACGGAGCGGCTGCGGCGTCCAATGATTGACGCGCCATATGAATTTGATATTGATCATCCCGTTCTGCCCTCGACACCGGATATCCCGCACTCTCTTGTCCGGAGTCCGCCTAGTTCCACCATGTTCAGGATTAATATTTATCCCTGTTAACAAAGTACTTGAGTACTTCAGTACTTTTAACAATACAGGTGTCAGATGCAAATGATCCTGCGAAGAATAAAATCAAAAATCAATCAAAATATTCTTGCTTTTTCCTCACCGGCAGTGGGGGAACAGGTTCCGCCTGCGGGGTGAGATCCAGCCCCCCTGAGAACGCCAATCATCAATTAAGAGTAAGAGTGTCGGTTTTCCGAGCTGAGAGCCTTGCATGTGAGCTTTTTCCCCCTGCTTTTTATTTTTGCATTTTCCTAATAGAATCGAATTTATCCAGGGTGGGGGGAATGGAGTATGTAGTTAGACGATGTTTCTCTGATTGGGAGGCTGAAAGTGAATACTATGATAGCAAATAACGGGGTATGAAGGGAATGTAAATACTGTAAGAATGATACTGTCTTTCACTATGGATTGAGCATTGAACATACACTGATCGTACCGGAGAGCCGCCGAATATCTCCGCTCGTAATTTGATGTTGACCAATTGGGTTTGATAATGACTTGGTCCCGCTAGGAAAATGATGGACCCCTTTCTCCTCTTTTCTACGGAGATTGGTGTGGTATGTGCTTTGTACTATAATTATCCTATATAAAACACAGTTTGATAAAAAAAAGGGATTCGGAGTGCTACCATGGAGTTGAAGGTTGCAATAGGAATCGGAGCTTTGAAAATTGAATTCTTAAACCCTGTTTTTTTTATAATTTCTCGTCCAGATGAATGTCAGGAGATAAACCTCCGATCACCGGGAGTTCACCGTCTCCACTTACGCGTCTTATAGGTTACGCGACTACATGACTCGTTAACCTTGAAGAAAGATGAAGATGATAGTCAAACGGTATTAAGTCTAAGCCTTATAAGTACCTATATGTAGGTATATAAGTACATATGTATCTATACGGAGTACTCCGTACATATAAACATATACAATTATATACTGTAATCAAAGTGCAACGTTAAACCTCCTTTTCAGGAAAAGAAGCTATCACCGGCATCAACCGCCTCGGCTTTGAACCTTTTTCAGAAGACTTTAGCACTAGACTCAATCAAGTCAGGCCTGTCCACCGAGCTTCTCCAGTCTCCACCCAAACTCCACTACTTTTCTCCTATTGGTGTAATAAAGTGACCAAGTGCCTGTCTTTGCTCGTCCACACTAGCCCTGGTCTTCCCGAGTCCCATCGCTTCTTCTTCCCCCGACTTGCGCTACACCTTTTTCTACCTTAGTTCCCTCCTATCTTCCCCTCTCTAGACCCCTTTTAGACTCGGTTCCCTCTCGTTCTTCGGGCACGCCATTCTTAGCGCCCCTCAGGCTCAAGCCAAAAGGCTCCTCTCTGACATCTTGGTACACACGGGCCATATACGCTAGGTTCTCCCTCGACGCGACGGGTAGACTAAGAGGCCTCCAGTTGGGAACCTAACCAGTAGTCCTTAGTAAAAAACAACAACACCTGTCTACCTCATATATGATAATTCCATCCATATTTAATAATTTTTAATAATTATAAGAGGAAATTGAGAAAAAAAATGTTGGCAATTCTTTCCTGGATGGTTCCGCTTTTTTTTTTCCTTTTCACAAACCGAAAACTGCAAAAACAAAAAAATAAAAATAAAAAAAAAATGTTATCACACGGACATGGAAAGCTTAG